TGGACTGAAACAGTCACCACGAGTCTGGTTCTCTCGCTTTAGTGATATAGTTGTACGTCTAGGATTCACCAGATGTCATTCTAATCATACCTACTTCATTCGACGGAATACTTCTGGACAGTGTGTCATCCTTTTGGTATATATTGATGATATTATTATTACTAGAGATAATATTTCTGGGACTGCGCAAGTCAAGGTAGACCTTGGAAAGACCTTCGATGTGTAAAGGACCTTAGATTTTTGCGATACTTTCTTGGGATTGAGGGTACCCGTAGCAGTAGAGGTATTATTCTTTCTCAAAGCAAGTATGTTCTAGATCTTCTCTCAGATACTGGAATGGTGAGTGCAAATCGACATCATCCTCCATGATTCCAAACCTGAAACTTATTGCTGAAGGTGAGGAGTTGAGAAATCCGTCTATTTATCAGAGGTTGGTAGGTAGACTTATCTACCTAGCCAACACTAGGCCAGACATTTCATTCGCTGTCAGCCGAGTTAGTCAGTTCATGCACAAACCATGTTAGCCTCATCTTGATGCAGTTTATCATATTCTTCGGTACCTCAAGTCTTGTCCTGAACTTGGGTTGTTCTATGCATCAAGATCTCAGACTAGTTCTCTAGCCTGTTATTCAGATTCAGATTATGAAGGAGCATGTGATGGTCAATCTATTACAGGCTTCTGTGCTTTTCAAGGGACTCATCTTATCTCTTAGAAGAGTAAGAAGCAGTCAGTTGTCTTTCGCTCGTTAGTAGAGGCAGAGTATCAGGCACTGACACTGACACTTGGCACATGTGAGATTATCTGGCTACGATCGATTCTTGGCCAGTTAAAATTTTCAGTGGCTTCTTCATCTACGTTATATTGTGATAATCGATCTGCTATTCAGCTTGTTTCTGACTCTGTAGAGCATATAGAAATCGATACTCACTTTCTTCAGGAGAAGGTTAGCAGTGGTATTGTCACTCCATCGTTTGTGAGGACCAGTGATCAGGTTGCAGATGTTTTTACCAAACCTGTCACTCTATCCATTCTTCGGGACTCTGTTGTCAAGCTTGGCTTGGTTGACATTTTTGCGCCTAGCTTGAAGGGGAGTGTTGGAGATATAGTAGCAGCCTAGTTTATTAGGGCTTATTAAGTTTTCTCTTTTTACTTTTTTATCCTTATTGTAACTTTCATTGACTATATATATGGGGCTCTACACTTAATTTGTATCCCTTGTTTTCACTCACAACTATTCTAAGTGTCCCAACACACATTTATGTACTCATAGTGATTGTACTAACCACACTATTGCTTATTGTTAGGATTTACATGGCAGGCCATCTGGCATTGCCAATTAGGTCTCCTATCAAGATGATACTCCTTCTTTACCTACTCCATCAGCACATTCGGCCTCTCTCGACTCTAAGTTAATTATTATTACACAAAAGGAGTATGCTCAGTTCATGTCCCAACTACAGGCCATACTCTCTTCTTCCACTGCTACTTTTGTCCAGTCAGGTACCCTTTCCACTTGTTTATTGTCATCCACCCGTAGTTCATGGATCATAAACTCTGGTTCTTCTTATCACACTACTGGTTCATCTAGTGTCTTTTCTATTTATCATTCTATTATCCTCTCATAGTATTACTCTTGCTAATAATACGTCTTCTCAAATTCCAGAATTAGAAACTGCTCAACTAAGTCCTAATTTGTCCTTATCCTTTGTTTTATTTGTTCCTTAGTTCCCATTCAGTTAAATTTCTAGTAGCAAGCTTACTTGTACGCTTAACGGCTCAATAACCTTTTACCCTTCTTATTGGGTGTTTCAAGATCTCCAAACGAAGAAGATTGGTACGAGATATGAAGCTAATGGTCTCTATTACTTCGACCATGATACGTCTCCTCAAACATTTCAGATCTCATCATCCCTATTTCAATAGGATTGTTGCCTTGGTCATCCTTCTCTCCAGAACCTGCAGCGTCAGATTCCTAGTCTTAGTTATGTATTATCTATGTCTTGTGAAGCTTGTCAACTTAGTAAGCATCACTGTGTATCCTTTTAAGTCTCGAGTCAATAACCGTGTGTTTAGTCTATTTGAATTAGTACATTTTGATGTATGAGATTCAATAAAGAATAATTCATATAAAAAATTTACTTATTTTGTGACATTTGTGGATGATTATTTTCATGACTTGATTATTTCTTATGAAAGTTCGTTCTGAATTTTTTTCTATATTTGAGACATTATGTAAGGAAATAAAAATCTAGTATAATTGTCACATTCATATTTTGCGTACTAATAATGCTCGTAAATATGCCTCTAACCTATTTGTTATTTATCTTTATAAAACTAATATTATTCATCAAACTTCATGTACCTACACATCCCAATAAAATGGTGTAACTGAGTGTAACAATCGTCATCTGTTGGAAGTGACTAGCCCACTTTTATTTCAGACAAATGTTCCTCGATATTTTTGGAATAATGTTATTCTGATTGCTTGTCATCTCATTAATCGTATGCCCTCTACTATGTTAAATGAGCAAAGCCCATATTCTGTCATTTTCTCCACTTCTCCCTTATATTCCTTCACAGCTAAAGTCTTTTGAGTGTATATGTTATGCTCACAACTTGGGTCCTGGCAATGATAAACTTGCCCTTCATAGTACAAAATATATCTTTCTTGGTTATTCTCGAACACAGAAGAGATATTGTTGTTATGTTCCCACACTTAGCAGACACTTTACTAGTGTTGATGTTACCTTCACTGAATCGGTCCCATATTTCGCAGCTCCTACTCATCCTTTGGACCTTGACTTTGGACAGTCACCTCTACCCCCACCTCTTCACTTACTATCTGTCATTCCGCTACTTACTGTGTTACCATCCTCCCCACGACCCCAACCCGCTTTTGTCCCATTCTGTATATACTCTCGTCGTCCACGATCATCGACTGAGGTGCCCTTATCATCTTCTTCGCCGTCTTCTAATTCGAGTCTTTCAGTTAATGATGTCTCTTTACCCATTGCTCTTTGAAAAGGTACTTGATCCTGTGTCACTCAGCATCCTCTTACTAATTTTATTTCTTATGATGTTTTGTCTCTTGTTTTTTCTTGTTTTATCTCTCAGTTGTAAAGATAGATGTCTTACATCATAATGGGACTTGGGAGCTTGTTCCCTAACCTCCTGATAAAAAGACTATTGATTGTCGTCTGTCGGTGGAGTATACCATCAAATTTAATCCTGATGGTTTTGTTGAATGCCTCAAAGTCAGACTTATTGCCAAGAGCTATACTCAAACCTATGTCGTTGATTATAAGAAAACTTTCTCCCTTGTTGCCAAAATTTCTTCTATTTGTGTAATGATTTCTTTGGCTGCTAATTTGCATTAGCATTAGTTTCAGTTAGATGTGAAAAATGTATTCTTGCACGGTGACTTGGCTAAAAAAGTACATATGAAGCAGCCACCTGGGTATGCTACTCAGGGAGAGTATCGTAAGAGTTTTTGTCGGCTAAAGAAATCTTTATATGGTTTGAAGCAATCATCGAAGGCGTGGTTTGATAAGTTTTCAGAGGCAATTTTAGAGTTCGATCTTCTTAGATGTCAGACAGACAACTCTGTTTTCCACAAACATACTAATTCTGGATACATTATACTAGTTGTTTATGTGGATGATATTATAATTATTGGTGATGATTCTTAGGGTATTATAAAGTCGAAAGTCTTCCTCCAACACTGATTTCATACTAAAAACCTGGGCAAACTCTAGTACTTATTGGATATTGAAGTTGTCAAGTCTAAGTCGGGCATTTGTTTGTCCTAGCGAATTATGTACTTGACATGCTAGCAAAAGTAGGTTTACTAGGGGGTAGACCAACTGATATTCTTATGGATTCAAGTCAGAAGTATTAATGGATGATGTTGCATTGTTTAAAAATCCGAGTCACTATTGCAGGTTGATTGGAAAGCCAAATTATCTTTCTATTAACCAACCAGATATTGCATATGTGGTTTAGTATTGTGAACCAATTTATAGGATACCCGAGAAAATCACATTGGGATGTAGTCATCTGCATTCTTCAATAACTTAAAAGTGGAAAGTCAATACCTGGACTTGGGTTATTGTATCGACCTCATGGACATCATAGAGTGGAAGGTTTTACAAATGTTGATTGGGCTGACTCTTCCTCAGATCGAGCATCAACCATTGGATATTGTACCTTCTTGGGAGGTAATATAGTTACATAAAAAAATAAGAAACAAATAGTGATAGCTCGGTCTAGTGCCAAAGTTGAGTATAGGACGATGACACATACAACTGGGAGTTGACATGGTTATGACACCTCTTTTAGGAAATAGGTTTTTTGGTTCAACGTCTTCCTTCAAGCTATTTTGTGATAATCAAGTAACTATTCATATTGCTACTAATTCGCAATCCATAAGAGAAGCAAACATATCAAAGTCGATTATCACTTTATTCGAGACAAGATATTTAATGGACATATTGCAATACCATTTGTGAAATCTGAAGATCAATACCAAAACATGGTGCCACGCTCATCTTACAACGACTTGTTCCAAGTTTGAATTATATAGTACATATACTCCAGCTTGAGGGGGAATGTAGAGAATATTATTATTACAGTTGAAAAAAGTATACCTCTCTAAGTGCATACTAGTCTTTTAATGTTTTATTAGATAACTATAAATAACAATTGATAGTGAGAGGTAGGGTAAGTTTCACCCCTCTCCGTCTCTCTCTCATATTGTGTTTTGTCTCTCTATATTCTCCAAACTTAACAATCCCAATGTAAGAGTTCAATCTTCTAGAGCATGAATGATTACGCCACACTTCAAAGGCATGGTCATCCCACACATAACACCGAAAGATCAATAAAATTGATACCTAACCAACATTATTTATTGAGAGAGAACAACTAGTACTTTTTGGATGCTAAAAACATGAATTTAAAACATTTCCATGTTAATATGTAGATAATCAACTTCAAATGCTTACTTCAGCGGGTTGGCTAATAATCGTTGCCCAATTGTGACAAAACTCGTCTCCTGATTTGACATAAACCATGCAAGCGAAGAAACACTACAAATAAAACATAAAATGATTAAGAATCCCATACAGAAAAAGTTAATTGATTGCAGGAGGCATTGGAGTGCAGGCATATAAGTACGGAGGTACAGCAGCGTTGCTACCAGAACCAAGTTCCAGATTAGCAAGAGTCATCCAAATACCTGCCAGTGAATATATGCTCTCTAAGTCCCAGTATTGTCGGATTCCTCACACCATGCTTCTTGAGAAATTCTTGCAGCAAATTCCTCACTTTGAAAGCTTCTTCCATGTAGTTATCCTGTTGATTGGGCATTTAATGATCATGCTTTAAGCTAACAATGTACATGCACCATACGTTTTAAGTTGACAAAGCCCAAGACATTGCCTGGTTCATATCTATAGTTTGCAAGCCTTCCCCACGCGTGAAGATTATTGCATGGTTTTGATTTTCTGGTTTTCCCTCACCTAATATGGCAGGTCCTGGAAGCTTAATCTTATAAACAACCTGCACATGGAAATATAAACCGTCTGTTAAAGCATTAAAACTTCATCGGGGTCATAACATGAAAAAGCAAGTAAAAAACCATCATACTTTGAGAATTTCTAGATCCTTGTTTAGGAAGCACAAATACAGACATGAGTGTTGTATCCGGCTTTGATACGGACATGGGGTAAGCCAAAATTCAAAAATATAGGACACAGGTTCAACAAGGATTCGCTATTAAAATAATATAATATATTTTTTAGATAACAATAGAATTAATATATTAAAAATAAAGCATTTTTATAAAAATATTAATAATAAAACCTAGCAAGTATTAATTTTTTGATTAAATATCCACCATTTTCATCGATCATTATTTCATCTATTAACATTCATACCATATAAGTTACATAAAAAAAAAAGCAAAAAAAAAAAAAATCNCATATTGCTACTAATTCGCAATCCATAAGAGAAGCAAACATATCAAAGTCGATTATCACTTTATTCGAGACAAGATATTTAATGGACATATTGCAATACCATTTGTGAAATCTGAAGATCAATACCAAAACATGGTGCCACGCTCATCTTACAACGACTTGTTCCAAGTTTGAATTATATAGTACATATACTCCAGCTTGAGGGGGAATGTAGAGAATATTATTATTACAGTTGAAAAAAGTATACCTCTCTAAGTGCATACTAGTCTTTTAATGTTTTATTAGATAACTATAAATAACAATTGATAGTGAGAGGTAGGGTAAGTTTCACCCCTCTCCGTCTCTCTCTCATATTGTGTTTTGTCTCTCTATATTCTCCAAACTTAACAATCCCAATGTAAGAGTTCAATCTTCTAGAGCATGAATGATTACGCCACACTTCAAAGGCATGGTCATCCCACACATAACACCGAAAGATCAATAAAATTGATACCTAACCAACATTATTTATTGAGAGAGAACAACTAGTACTTTTTGGATGCTAAAAACATGAATTTAAAACATTTCCATGTTAATATGTAGATAATCAACTTCAAATGCTTACTTCAGCGGGTTGGCTAATAATCGTTGCCCAATTGTGACAAAACTCGTCTCCTGATTTGACATAAACCATGCAAGCGAAGAAACACTACAAATAAAACATAAAATGATTAAGAATCCCATACAGAAAAAGTTAATTGATTGCAGGAGGCATTGGAGTGCAGGCATATAAGTACGGAGGTACAGCAGCGTTGCTACCAGAACCAAGTTCCAGATTAGCAAGAGTCATCCAAATACCTGCCAGTGAATATATGCTCTCTAAGTCCCAGTATTGTCGGATTCCTCACACCATGCTTCTTGAGAAATTCTTGCAGCAAATTCCTCACTTTGAAAGCTTCTTCCATGTAGTTATCCTGTTGATTGGGCATTTAATGATCATGCTTTAAGCTAACAATGTACATGCACCATACGTTTTAAGTTGACAAAGCCCAAGACATTGCCTGGTTCATATCTATAGTTTGCAAGCCTTCCCCACGCGTGAAGATTATTGCATGGTTTTGATTTTCTGGTTTTCCCTCACCTAATATGGCAGGTCCTGGAAGCTTAATCTTATAAACAACCTGCACATGGAAATATAAACCGTCTGTTAAAGCATTAAAACTTCATCGGGGTCATAACATGAAAAAGCAAGTAAAAAACCATCATACTTTGAGAATTTCTAGATCCTTGTTTAGGAAGCACAAATACAGACATGAGTGTTGTATCCGGCTTTGATACGGACATGGGGTAAGCCAAAATTCAAAAATATAGGACACAGGTTCAACAAGGATTCGCTATTAAAATAATATAATATATTTTTTAGATAACAATAGAATTAATATATTAAAAATAAAGCATTTTTATAAAAATATTAATAATAAAACCTAGCAAGTATTAATTTTTTGATTAAATATCCACCATTTTCATCGATCATTATTTCATCTATTAACATTCATACCATATAAGTTACATAAAAAAAAAAGCAAAAAAAAAAAAAATCACACCCCTCTAAATAGGTAACGGTCGTTTTTTTTTTTAAAAAAATAAAATTTTGTGGTCATACCTTGACCGTGTCTGAGTTCCCCATTCAGGACAACTCCTAGTCATGACACTGCCACGGCACCCCTTCTAGAAGTATCCGTGCTTCCTAGATCCTTTTAAATAAAAATCATGATATTTCATACCAATAAAAAATCGAAGGACCGGAGATTCATGCCTCTCTATAGGCTGGTCACTATAGTGATCTCAATTGCAGTACAAAAACAATAAGCCCCATGTTGCACCAAGACAAAGAAGCACAACTCATGAGCGCTATCAAGTCAAAAAATGCCACTAGGACTTGACTATAACCCTGCTCCTACCATCATGATTTGATTCTAAACAAAGCTCAGAAAACAGATATTCAAATGCAATAGCGATAACAATCATAGCGGCTCAATCCAATGTCCATAATATATTAATATATTAAGACTTTGTACCTGGTCTAACTTTTGATCTGGCTCAGAAGAGTCAACAGACTTTGGTACAGCCTTCACAAGGGCCGAATAGTAAACCTTCTCAACCATCTTTTTGGATTTATCTTTGCCAGTTTCTTCAACCTCATCGATATAAGCCACACGAAGAGATGGATACCTGCCACAAGAAATTAAGGAAATGCAACCACCAGTTGTAGACTTGAGCAATGAACAAAGGAAGAATACCAAATGCGGGAAACATACTTTGTCATAAGCCTCAATATGTCATGTGCACGAGCATCACCAGATCGTTTCTGAATCCCATATTGCTGGCATGACACAACATATGTGAACTTCATGTCAGCTACTGCTTGACATTGTGCCAGTAATGACCTTTCATTCCTAAGGTGTTCCTCAGTGTTTGATTCAGCTGCCTTATACCCTTTCATTAACTCTGCAGGGAAGCCGCAACAAAACACGAAATTTATTTCTGCTACACAGATGGTACAAAACTACAACCAGACTTTGTATAAGCACCTTCTTCTTTTGCCATATCGAGGAATGCCTGAAGTTCCAAAGCTTGGCGATAGTACATCATACCGCGTACTTATTTGTTCACAGTGGAAAGAACATATGCATGGAGAAGTCATTATCAATAAAAAAATAAAACCAACACTAATAGTCCAAAATAAGAAAAGTACATCTTATACCAGTTTTAGTCAGTGTCTGGCCTCTATATGAGGCCCATAGGCGAAGTTCTTCTTCCAATTTTGCATTTCCTTTAAGTTCTTCCTCACTGGTGCAACCAACTCGTTCCAGGAAGTTATCCCATTCATCTGTAGATGGCATGTCCGTTCAGAACAAAGGGATTAACTATGAAGCATATTATTCATATGTCAGTTCACAGGGACACAAACAACATGCGAGGCAAGCTAACCTGGAAAAATTTTTTGCAAGTAAAAAAGGATAGAAACACCATCTTCATTGGGCCTTTCCAGGAGATCCATGGAGAAAGTAACTTCTTCATCATAGTATGGAGTTAAGGTGCTACAAAACAACACAGAGACTTCAGGTTAGATCTACTGCAAATGGGATTCAAGTGAGGGTCCTACACAAACGTATTATTATTTATACCAATCCGAATCTCAATACTTGAGTCCAAATGCAGCTACGTCTGTATTATTGTTTGCATCTGGAAGCAATTGTGATTTTCAATACTTGACTGCCTTGATAAACGTAGATTGATTGAAAGCACGATTTAAATAATTTCCATCATACTCAAAACCATTCAGCCAGGCAGGTAAATTTGTATTCCATCTCAACTGGCATCAGCAACACTTGTCTCAAACTACTGATTTCAATTTGTTATTTCATAAAAAGATTTGTCAAACTACGATTTAGTTTGCTATACAATTCCCAAGCCCAGAAATTTTGCCCCAATAATTTTATTAACCCACAAATGAAAAACTCAAAATGCCTATATTAAGCATATCAAACCCCCTTTCCCCGCCCTGGAATCAATCCATGACCAACTGTGGCGACTCAATTGCCTAAGTTATGCTGGTACCAACCAGCCAAGGTCAACTAGGCCATGCAGTTGCCATCCTCAAATTGCTGGGAAGCACAGTCACAATTTAGAGCATGGCACAAATCTCTTTAGCAGTTATTCAATAAACCACCAGGCCTTTTGTCCACTTGGATACAATCCAAACATGCAGGAATAGTCGTGTCTTGGTAACCACTAAAAATCACCGCCAACTACTTGCTTAGTCAAATCAATGCCTTCCTAAAATACTGTCATGTCTGTGCCAACATGATGCAAGAATGCCTTGCTTAAGCCCACTGTTTTGCCTCAATGTGCCCAACCATGATCACAATGTGTTGCCTCCCTCAGCAATGCGTGGGGCTTACACTAACGATGGGTCCTACCAATGCATCGGTCCCACATTTTCTCGAGTCTCCAACTTATGTATGTTGCCTCACCGGTGACAAGGTTTCTTGGTGTCAAATCTTGCTATGGCTTGTCAAGGCTTGGAGGCATAAGGTTGCTTGGCCTAGGTGCCCCAAGGAGCACCCCCCTTTAAATATATTTTGGGAAGAAAACCCAATTTTGATAATAAAGGACATCAGAAGAGTTGAGGAATCGTAATGGTATTTACGAAATTGCCACTGCCGTAGATCCCTAAGTATTTCTGCCGCACGATTAGCTTACCACGTACACTATCTAGTAACCGACCCTACCAATTGTTAAAATATTTTAGTATTAAAGGTAGTTTAGTCCTTTTATCCTTTATTTGTTTTGCCCTACTATAAAAAGGTTTTTATTATGCAACTTTCATCTGAAGTTGTAATAAGACTAGTGAACCGTGATAATATTCTCACTTTCTTCTATTTGTTTTTTTATGCAATCCAAATTTTCATGGTATCAGAACGTGTTTTCTATGATTCTATCCTATGCAAATTTAGGAACATAGTAGTATACATCAGAGAAAAATCTAGTTCAGCAAGAGGCTTACATCATCAACAAGGATGATGGCGTCATTATAATGTCATCAATTAGCAATGATTACAACACCTATTCTGATCAATTTTCTGTGAGTTTTGACATGGTATGGTTCGTTTTGAGTTCGTTGTCATTTGATAGGGTTTTTGATTTTTCGAAAAAATGGGATCAAGATTTTTTGATTTGTTCTTTGCATGACTTCTCTTCGAATTTGTTGCTACAAGCACACCTAAAAGGTGTGATTAGTTGCCTTGAATACACAGCTGTATGATTCTACAACAGTTGGTTGATTTCTGAGGATTTTTGCTACTTTTGTTGGTTCAGCGGAGTACCCTTCGGGAGCTTAGTTTGTTGGTTTTGGTGGGTTATTCTTTGCGGCTTCTAATTTCTATCAACTGTTCTGGTTTGTGAACTCCTTCGACTTGCATAGTGGTATTGTGATCTTCTTTGGCTTACCTGCTACTGGTTTTTAAGTTGGTTGCTCAGCTTCTGGCTTATGATTTTTACGTTGGTTGTTCTGCTTCTAGCTCGCATTGGGTTACTTTACTTACTGGGTATCTGTTGCAATCTGTTAGCTTATATATTTGCAATCTGTTAGCTTATATATTTGGGTTGTTTGGAAGCCGATACACTTTCTATAACTTTTTTGGCTTTAAGTACAAACTCAAAAAGCTTTTGGCAAAAAGGACAATTCGGAGCAAAATGACCAAAATACCCCTAACATCACAGTTACTATTGAAAACCGATTAATTTGAAAACTAAAACTTTAAATTTTAGAGTTTTCTAATATTAAAACTCTCTCTCTCAATATCTCTCTCTCTCTCTCTCTCTCTCTCACACACACATATAAATATATATATATTATTTGCCATTAAAACCCAAAAATCTATTATTTGTTGATCTTGGTATCTCCTGTTCCTACTCCTATGCATTGTGACACCACAAGTGCTATGTAGTTGGCAGATTTCTTTACGAAGTCTAACACAATTATACACTTCCATTTTCTTCTGGACAAACCCCTAATGTTTTGTCCTATTACATCATGAGTTTGAAGGGGGATGTTAGTATTTTGGGCCGTTCAGTCCTTCTATCATTTATTAATTTTGCCCTATTGTAAAAGAGTTCCTATTACACATCTTTCATCTTAAGTTGTAATAGACTAGTAAGGCATAATAATATTCTCACTTTCTTCTATTTCTTTTTCTCTTTTAGCTATGCAATCAAAGTTTTCACCAACCACCAACCAAAATGCCTAAAACCACTTGAACACCAATACACTTCCAAGTATTTTAGGAGCCACCATAAACGTTAGGGTTGCTTAACAAGCACACCCCCACCTTGGCCTTGGCATTGGCATGGGGCTCCATTAGGCAAGTCACCTGCATGCCATGGCCGTGCCAAACCTTAGATCCCATAGATGAGAAAAAAAACAAATAGATATTGAACCCATCTAACTATTATGGCTAAAAAATGATAAATTTTGTGATGCCAAGGTTAGTTATCTTTCACAGAATAGAAACTCTCCGTCATTTCTATGTAATACGAAAAACTAGGTCATTGGTTATAGAAACCTACCTTATCATTTGGATTAATAATATTGAGATAACACCAAAGCATTCTGATATCTTGTGTTTGGGTCTTGTTTAAGATGAGATTTCGTAAAAGTTATTTAATTCTTTACATCATGGTAAGCTAATGGCTTTATAATGGATGATTGGACGTTACCTATAGACCTTATTGCTACTCCAAATGGGAAGAGAGGAGCTCCATCAACTAGTCCGCTTTAATGTACTCACATGTTTGCTCCAGAAAATTAACACAGCCAACCCTAGTAATTGGACCCACCCACAAAAGCCCTAGAAAATGGGGTCAGTTGTGAATCTAGAACAGTTAAAGACAGAGAGAGAGAGAGAGTCTGTGTGGATCGAGTCATAGAGCTAACTACATTTAGTTAGATGTAGGTTTTTACATCACAATCTTCTAAGCAGTTTGGTGCACGATGATCCAAATATTGTAAAACTACTAAATCCTCATTGGCATAAATATTTGGCGTGGGGCAAATTACAGGTGACGACCACTTCTTTGTAATAAACGAGTAATGGCTTCTACGCTTTACTATCCATTTGTTCTAATAAAAATAGCTGAATTTTTTTTTGACAATTTCTTATCTCAAAGTTCATGAAACATAAAACAAAACGATGACACAAATCATTTAGATCTACAATGTTACAACAACTTACATTTTAACCAAATTAAACATTTTAACCACATTATAAGTTTTAACTATACTTACATTTTAATCATAGTAAACGTTTTAAGCACGTACTTGCATTTCAATCACAATAAAAAAAAGGAATGTGTTGCNGCCATTAAAACCCAAAAATCTATTATTTGTTGATCTTGGTATCTCCTGTTCCTACTCCTATGCATTGTGACACCACAAGTGCTATGTAGTTGGCAGATTTCTTTACGAAGTCTAACACAATTATACACTTCCATTTTCTTCTGGACAAACCCCTAATGTTTTGTCCTATTACATCATGAGTTTGAAGGGGGATGTTAGTATTTTGGGCCGTTCAGTCCTTCTATCATTTATTAATTTTGCCCTATTGTAAAAGAGTTCCTATTACACATCTTTCATCTTAAGTTGTAATAGACTAGTAAGGCATAATAATATTCTCACTTTCTTCTATTTCTTTTTCTCTTTTAGCTATGCAATCAAAGTTTTCACCAACCACCAACCAAAATGCCTAAAACCACTTGAACACCAATACACTTCCAAGTATTTTAGGAGCCACCATAAACGTTAGGGTTGCTTAACAAGCACACCCCCACCTTGGCCTTGGCATTGGCATGGGGCTCCATTAGGCAAGTCACCTGCATGCCATGGCCGTGCCAAACCTTAGATCCCATAGATGAGAAAAAAAACAAATAGATATTGAACCCATCTAACTATTATGGCTAAAAAATGATAAATTTTGTGATGCCAAGGTTAGTTATCTTTCACAGAATAGAAACTCTCCGTCATTTCTATGTAATACGAAAAACTAGGTCATTGGTTATAGAAACCTACCTTATCATTTGGATTAATAATATTGAGATAACACCAAAGCATTCTGATATCTTGTGTTTGGGTCTTGTTTAAGATGAGATTTCGTAAAAGTTATTTAATTCTTTACATCATGGTAAGCTAATGGCTTTATAATGGATGATTGGACGTTACCTATAGACCTTATTGCTACTCCAAATGGGAAGAGAGGAGCTCCATCAACTAGTCCGCTTTAATGTACTCACATGTTTGCTCCAGAAAATTAACACAGCCAACCCTAGTAATTGGACCCACCCACAAAAGCCCTAGAAAATGGGGTCAGTTGTGAATCTAGAACAGTTAAAGACAGAGAGAGAGAGAGAGTCTGTGTGGATCGAGTCATAGAGCTAACTACATTTAGTTAGATGTAGGTTTTTACATCACAATCTTCTAAGCAGTTTGGTGCACGATGATCCAAATATTGTAAAACTACTAAATCCTCATTGGCATAAATATTTGGCGTGGGGCAAATTACAGGTGACGACCACTTCTTTGTAATAAACGAGTAATGGCTTCTACGCTTTACTATCCATTTGTTCTAATAAAAATAGCTGAATTTTTTTTTGACAATTTCTTATCTCAAAGTTCATGAAACATAAAACAAAACGATGACACAAATCATTTAGATCTACAATGTTACAACAACTTACATTTTAACCAAATTAAACATTTTAACCACATTATAAGTTTTAACTATACTTACATTTTAATCATAGTAAACGTTTTAAGCACGTACTTGCATTTCAATCACAATAAAAAAAAGGAATGTGTTGCAGCACGTGGGTACCCTAATGCTATATAGTTGATAAGTATCACTTTCTAGTTATTTACGAAATAAGCACAAACCTCCAAAAGAGGGGAAAAATAACGTTCAAAGCTCATGAGAAATAACACAAAACATCATTTAGAGCTATGATTCAACTGCTAATCTTGCAACTTATATTTTAACTACAATAGACATTTTAACTATATCTATATTTTAACCACTCACTTACATTTTAACCATAGTAACATTTTAATCACATTTAAAAAAAGAAAGTTACTTACTATTGAAAAGAGCACAAACCTCCAAAAGAGAAAAAATAGTGTTAAGACAATTAATGAATAGTCAAAAGAACGCCAAGGGAAAGTTTACAATTGCAAGATCAGTCACTGTCCAAGTTCATGGAGAGATACGATCACATAACAGTAGTACATATATACACACAATCTTTGACAGTGCAAGTGACCTTCATCAAATGTATACCATAAGAGTGAATTGATATCCACATCAGCATAAAATAGAAAGTAAATTCGGCAGTAATGTTCAAGCAAGTCAACGTAAATAACAAAAACTGATGTTCAGAAATGCATATGGATAGAGCATTTATACACTAAAATGGTAAAATATGTTAAAATTAATGCCAGAAGCCAAAAAGTAAAGACTGGCTACGGCACATGAGCTAGTTAGTTTATACTCCTGTTTCTAAATTACAACACATTATGTGCTGCCAAAGTTTTAAAACAGCATTATATGTTGACAATTTAGGAAAGAAACAATTAAATTGGCATTTGGATCACTAAGGAATAAAGACAGATCCCAGTCCTAAGACTCATGAGGCCTGCATTAAAAGATCCAAAATATGCAGCGGTTATGCATAAAAGTTAAGAATATGAGGACTTACGAGAAGGAAAGCATATTGCGAACTTTGGGTGCAGCAGGCATGTCCATAAACAGTGAATTTGAGAAGAAAGAAATGCGCCTTCTTGCTTCCAAATTGGATGGCACATCCATAGCTGACTCTTTCACGGTTAGCAATAGATGAAGTCTTCTGATCTGAAGACAAGGACATAAATCACAGGAGAAAAAAAACCATAATAAATATCTTGCTTCAAGTCACAAAAAGAAAAGGTACAAAAAAGATACACACAGTCTGACAAAAGAACCAGAAAACCCCACCTACTATAATTTGTAAAAAAAAACAAAACTTACTTTCTCTTTCCAAGCATCTGTTTCTTCTGTAACTGGAAATTTAAGTGCACCAAAGAACTGATATTGTTGATCAAGAGGGGTCATTCCCTCGTCCATTCCATAAGACCCACCGTGGCTGGAATCTAGCAAACTACATAAAGAAAATAAGGAGCATGTAGCAACCACATTAAAATGGCAATATGCTTGAGAAAATAATTGCTTCCGTGTGAATTACCTAGGAATTGAATCCTCCATTATGTCTCTGGTCACAACCTCTAGCATATTGAGTAAGACAATTACAACCTGATCCTTGTCTTCTTTTCTATTTACTTGCTGTTAAATAAAAACTGATTCAGTTAGGACTCTTTGTTAATTTTAACTCGACAATGGCTACAGGACACTTACCAGATATTCAATAAGCTGAACAAAGTGCCCATAGAGGCTGGGCAGCTCACTCATATTCAATTCACTTATCAGATCATCATCTTCTATATGATGATCAACTTTCGTGAATATTTCCTTGATAACGCTGACAATAATAGGCAACACAATATAATTCAACATGGTGATGATTCTCACATTTTCGCATCAATATTTTAGATGGTAATTAACTTACAGTTTTTCGCGTTGCCCCAAAACCAAAAAATTGATGATGTTTTTGCATGAAGAATAACACTCGCGGACAGCACAGCGCATATAACTGTCCGCATTTAATCTTTTTCTGAGCTCGCGGTCTCTCTCTTTGCTATCTTTAGCCATATCCAGTGCTATGGGAAGCTACACAAATGATACAGTATAGACATACAATTTTTTTAACAATGATTATGATGTTAGAGAATTCAACTAAAACCAATTGCAATGAGTAAAGAGACCCCTCAGCCATATAAACCAACCCTGGGTGGCCACAATTTTTCCAATGTGAGAATTGAAATACAAGCTCTCTTTACACACTACCAAATGTGGGCTCCGGACTCACATGTGGGCTAATAGAACAAATAGACAAACTTTCATACCGGGAACTTGTGGGAGAGACTTGGTCCACTAACCATCCATGGTCAAGCTTTATTACCTTGTTAAAGCATTCAAGTCAAAAAAAATAGGCAACAAATAGAGAGGTCCTGATAGGAATCGGATTGTCTTTCGTTATAATAAGCACAAACATAAGGATTAGGAGTTATTTGTCATTTTACTTATTAGGACTTAGTTGTCATTTTAACTATTTATTTGCTTTAGGGCTTGTACTCCCTATATATATATATATACTAGTTATTGTCTGTACCTAAAGGCACAGAGTAATAAAAAATGATAAACAATAAACATAATTATATTCATATCCAAAATCAAATCACAAATATAGATGAGAGAAAAATAAATTTAAATATCAGTTGTAGTGGGGTGGAGAGGTGGTGGGGCGGCAGTGGTGGTGGTAGGAGATGGTGATGATTTGCAGTGGGTGACAATGACCGTGGGGGCGGCAGCGGTGGTGGTGGTGGCAGTGGCAACGATGGTGGTGGCGACGGTAGCAACGACGGGGATGGCGACGGCGGCAACAGTGATGGTGGCGACAGCGACGGTGGGGGGCGGCCGCGGCGACGATGGTGGTGGTGGTGGTGGGGGGCGACGGTGGTGGTGGCAGTGATAGTGTGGCGATTTCAAACACTATTTTTTTTTAAAGTACTTAACAAGAAATAATTCTTAAAATTACTTTTAAAAAGTCACTTCAAACACACCTTTAGGGGCCTACTTTTCCTTTTAAATTTAGATTGTTAATATTAGCCATTAGATTAACTTTAAAGTAAAATTTAAAACGATCTGAACCACGAAAAGCAAAAGTCATTTTGTTTATCTTTTGAAATTTAAATTGTAAGTTATTTTATTATATAGATATATAGATATATATATAAGAGATACAGTATTTGTGTTTGGGTACTTTAATTATTATTGAATATTGATATTGCATGCTTCCCAAGTTCCTTCTCCTTCTTTTAATTTCTCATCACTTTCTTCTTCTCTTCTCATCCCTAATTATTTCCCTTCTTAATCTACATCAGGTCCTTAACCATACCAACCTTGGGTGACCCTAATCTTTCCATGAGTGATACAAACTCTCTTTACAAAGGGAAGATAGTAGCCTTGGAAGCAACAAACCTTGCTAGCAAGTAAAAATGGAGGCCACTGGATGAGGTCTAAGTAACGATCAGCCCAGTATGGTACAAGCAATAGACTTCTTTCCCTGCAAAGCGGAAGAAATTTAGCAATTTTAGACACAAAGAACGAAGAGAAGGAAGAGGAGGGGGGGAGGGACAATGAAAGGATAAATATAAAGGGCGTCATAGTAGTCAAGATTATATAATCATCCTTTTTTCATGTAAGAGACATATATAGCCATCAACTCATCATATTCCTTGTACCTATTACTGATCAGATCCTCCTCTCTGAAACTTTCAATTATTTTGTTCCACAACTGAGCAAATCTTGCGGCCTCCTTCTCGTTATTAGGTGGGATCTATAGATTTAGAATAATTTTGCATAAATCCTCCAAACAAGAAACAAAAAGAAACTGTTGCCAACAAACACCAAATAGGATAGTGACCAATGATACAAAGATAGTAAAAAAAATTTTATTGATAAAGGGATAGTAATTGAACCTCAGGGTAATTGCGAGATAATGTGGCCTTCAGTCCCTTCGGCTTTTCATTCTTTTCTTCTGGAATCAGGCGGGCATTGAAAGCACCCGGCAACGATTGAAATCGAGACCTGAGCATTACTAATGTTCGAATCTGAGATCAAAACAGAACAGTGAATTTCTAGCATTTCAAGAACAAGCATTCAACAATAAATACAGGCCAACTTCTTAGAAGGGTTCTTCTGTGTGGCCGTGTAAAAAATCAAACTCCAAAAAGTCCAATGAAGGAGCTTCCATGTGATTCATGTTGAGGAGTTCAAACAATTAAGAAAATGCAAGTGTCAAACTGTCAATGCAAGAACGTAAAATGATCGAGACAAACAAAGCATACATATGCTTGTGCAAAATACCTCCTGAATCCTGATGTCTAAAATGTAAAAGGTAATGTCCCAGGTGCATTAAAAAAGTAAGAGAATAGAAGAACTGGAGCTTTTTGGATTATATTATAGAAAAGGCAGGACTCCATATTCCGTACTGAGGTCATGCCTAAAACACACAGTACATAATATAACAAACTTAGATTCAACAAAGCTAGTAAGATTTTTTTTTTCAAAAATGAAGTTGATAGCCATTCAGTTCAACGTAGTTGCTTCACCTAGGTGGGAACAACCAAAAACAACAAGTGTTATGAGGGGAAATTCAAGCACTAGTGTTTGGAAAAAGAGTTGAAGAAGAAAAACAAAATTATCCTGTAATCATGAACTAACATCTCCATGACACGCAGCAAAGAAAGTAGTATCTCTGCGGATACATTTGTGGAATAAAGATCAAGTTCAATGAGTTAGTGGCTAGAAAAACAATAAAAGGTGAAAAGCAGTTACTAGAGTGGTTTGCTGCCTACAACCAAGCAGCTTAGATGTTTTAATCCTATATTCTTTTTAATCAGTCTCTGATGCTTAACGAAGAACAATGGATGTAGACATACAAGGTTCTTTAAAACAGTAGCAGTGATACATGAGCACCAGATGGTCATAGTAATCAAAATGATACTAAACCCTACTACAATAAGAGATCATCCTTAAAGAGTACTGCATAACCCTAACAAAAGATTAAAATAGAAAGGTGTGGGTATGTTTTAAAAGTACCATGATGGATAATGCATAAAAGATGTCAATGGGCTGTAACAATGCCAATTTTTTCCTGGAGCCTTTTTAGTGTGCTTTACGAATTTCATGTTAGTATCAAAACCAATCCAAATATACCAATGCTTAACAGGTCATCCATGGTCTTAATTACCTACTTAATTGAGTCTATTGCAGTACAGGACATGCGGCATACATGGTATGCATTAAGAATTATCAGAGATATTATTAAGGGTATTTGGTAACCTTGCTCATTAACATATACATGTCTACCCACACACACACAGGGCTGGTCTCCACATTCTAGTTTGAGCTTACACCAAGATAATTAAAAAAGAACATGAAAGCAAAGAAGAATAATAGAAACTGCCACATAAAATTTACCAAAAAGTAAAATGAACTAAAAGACACCAAGTGACAGTGTGACACCACGCTTGTCTCTCATGATTTGGATATGTCTAACACTACATTAAATGTATCTATTACTGATATTCAAATAACTCATACATTGCTCAGCATTTCATGGAGCTATCCAGCTAATGATATGCCATGTGTCATGAAACACGTCACTACCAGCCAATTTTATGTTGCTCCATGAAAAAGTATCATCCAGTATATCATATATCTTGCTGAGGCATAGTTTGTTACCGGATATGTACTCAAATACAGGTCTGATTTACATCAACAATGCATAAAATGGTTTTAAGTATTCCCTCAAACGAAGTTCTCTATACCATTGTAGAAGTGCTGAGCACAACACATACCAGCATGTGTTACTACTGTCCATGCCTGGATAGGGAGCAAAACAACAGAAGATGACAAACATAAATAGAAGTAGACTGCAGGAAGCTCCACCAACCTCTCCAAGACGGCGGAATGCACCATATATTCCTCCAAATATAGTGGAGAAAATAGCATACCAAATTTGACTGTCCATGAAATAGACCTGTAAATAGTCATTGCTTTGGACATCAAAGAACAAAACGAGCAAGGGCAAAAAAATGAGGGACAGATCAGCAGTGGGATAATTAACATACGAGAATAACAGGAGCCCAGACAGCAATGACAACACCAATATTGCTCTTGGCTGCAAGCAGCAGTAGAAAATTTTCAAAATGTCTCCATTTTCAACAAAAAAGCCATCAACAGGATATACTATGCATTTTATTACCTCGAGGGAAAAACTCATGCCACTGGTAAGTTGTTATATGAACATTCATGATCGCTTTTGTTGGACCCACAAGCGGTTTGATCTGCAATCAACAGAATAATAAATCGATTTTCTGTATAAGATTGAAAAGAGTTTACCCAGTAGACTAAAGATCGAAGATCCCTGTTAGAACAGTTGGTTTGAATGCCTATTCCTCGGCATACTAAGGCCTCATCTAGTTATTATTATTTCTTTCCATCTGATGAGAGAATGGATGCTTTTCATTCCGCTTTCGCTAGAATTCCAGTGTCCTCGTGATCTTTTGTTTTTGTTGCAAGATGTTAAGAATAGTAGGGTAGTATGTGTAAATTGTTAATAGTAAGAGGGTGTATGTGTAATTCTTATTATTGTGAGTTAACTATAAATAGAAGTGATGTATGAGAGCTAGGTTAAGTTTTTAACCTCTCTTCGTTTCTTTCTAAATATTGTCTCTAATATTATGTTAATAGTAATCTTTCAAACTTAACATGGTATTAGAGCAATAACGATCATAAATATATTAACACTGTTGTGGTGTGGTCTCTGTTCATCATGTGACCTCTGTTCACGACCCTAAATATATTAACACTGGTGTGATCTCTGTTCATTGTCCACTTGCATTGTTCGTGGTGGTGGTGTTGTTGTGGTGGCGTGATCATTTGTGGTGGTGGTGTGGCCTTGGTTCACCGTCGAGTAGCATCCTTCATGGTAGTGATGTGGTTGTGGTGTGTGGTGGTTGGTGGTGTTGTTGTTGTCTGTGGCATATGGTGTGTGGCATTGTCAAAGACCAGAGGGTTCTCTTGGAACCCTAATCAGCGAAGAAGAAGGGATCTAACCCGTGGAATCAGGTCTAGATCAGATCGGGTCAAGCCCAGGGTTTTAAATTGTTTTTAAGTCCAATCTAGGTCCAGCCCACAATTCAGCTTAGGCCAGCTTAGACCGAATCAATCCCGGTTCATCTTCAAACCGGTTCNCTATGCATTTTATTACCTCGAGGGAAAAACTCATGCCACTGGTAAGTTGTTATATGAACATTCATGATCGCTTTTGTTGGACCCACAAGCGGTTTGATCTGCAATCAACAGAATAATAAATCGATTTTCTGTATAAGATTGAAAAGAGTTTACCCAGTAGACTAAAGATCGAAGATCCCTGTTAGAACAGTTGGTTTGAATGCCTATTCCTCGGCATACTAAGGCCTCATCTAGTTATTATTATTTCTTTCCATCTGATGAGAGAATGGATGCTTTTCATTCCGCTTTCGCTAGAATTCCAGTGTCCTCGTGATCTTTTGTTTTTGTTGCAAGATGTTAAGAATAGTAGGGTAGTATGTGTAAATTGTTAATAGTAAGAGGGTGTATGTGTAATTCTTATTATTGTGAGTTAACTATAAATAGAAGTGATGTATGAGAGCTAGGTTAAGTTTTTAACCTCTCTTCGTTTCTTTCTAAATATTGTCTCTAATATTATGTTAATAGTAATCTTTCAAACTTAACATGGTATTAGAGCAATAACGATCATAAATATATTAACACTGTTGTGGTGTGGTCTCTGTTCATCATGTGACCTCTGTTCACGACCCTAAATATATTAACACTGGTGTGATCTCTGTTCATTGTCCACTTGCATTGTTCGTGGTGGTGGTGTTGTTGTGGTGGCGTGATCATTTGTGGTGGTGGTGTGGCCTTGGTTCACCGTCGAGTAGCATCCTTCATGGTAGTGATGTGGTTGTGGTGTGTGGTGGTTGGTGGTGTTGTTGTTGTCTGTGGCATATGGTGTGTGGCATTGTCAAAGACCAGAGGGTTCTCTTGGAACCCTAATCAGCGAAGAAGAAGGGATCTAACCCGTGGAATCAGGTCTAGATCAGATCGGGTCAAGCCCAGGGTTTTAAATTGTTTTTAAGTCCAATCTAGGTCCAGCCCACAATTCAGCTTAGGCCAGCTTAGACCGAATCAATCCCGGTTCATCTTCAAACCGGTTCAGCAATCCAAAGAGCCTAACCGGTCCGGTTCAGCGGTCCAGCTAGGTTTTCCAGCCCGGTTCGGCCTTCCAGCAAGTCCAGGCGGACCAGTTCAGCGGTCTAGATAATCCAGTTGGTCCGGTTCAGTGGCCCAGCCCGGTTATCCAACCCATTTCAGTATTCTAGCAAGTAACAATGGTCTTTGTTCAGTATTCCAGCTGCTTCCTTTCTTCCCGTTCAATCCTCCAACAACTTTCTAAGAGGGTTAAGCATTGTAGCTTCTTGGTTTGCGATTTGCTGCACTGTTATGGAACCCAAGCAAGATACCAGGTCCCTTACTCCATCTTTGCCTCCTCCGACTCTTATCAATGGTCTTATAACCGCTGTTAAACTCAATGGGACTAATTATACTTTATAGTCCCGATCTGTTTAAGTCTTTCTTCGAGGCAAAAGATTTAAGAAATATTTTGTGAATCCTAAACCCAAGGAAGATACTTCTGGGTATGATTAGTGCGAAAAAGAAGACGCTCAAATTATTTCTTTACTATTGAATAGCATTGAGCCTAGTATTAGTTCTACTTTGCTCTATCTTGACAATGCCAAGGAGATATAGGATCACTTGGCCACTTTATATTCTGGTACAGGTAATTTTATCCGAGCTTATTAGGTGTGCAAGGAGTACTTCCAACTAAAACAAAGTACTCTGAGCATTGAGGATTATTATTCACACATTCGAGAAGTTTGTGAGGAGATGAAAACTTACCATCCGTTTACTACTTATGCAACAGTTTGGCAAAAGCAACATAATAACATGAATATTATTAAATTTTTGGTAGGATTGAAACCTGAATATGAGGCTATTCGTTCTCAAATTTTGAGTGGTTCTAGTCTTCCCTCACTACTTGAAGTTTTCTCACGTGTACAGCGTGCTACTTTGTCTACCGCAGGCATCGATCATGGTGTCTCCACTGATCACTCAACTCTTGTGGTTCCTAGTAGCCATAGTGATGGTTATCGTGGTGGTCAAGAAGGTCGTATAGGAGGTCTTACGGGTGATCGCGGGGGCCGTAGTGGACCTCGTTCTTGTACTCACTGTGGTCGTAGAGGGCACACTTAATTTCTATCGGAATTTATATGAAAAACCTTCTAGTGCTGTGAATCCAACTGCCTATCATGATGATACCTCTGTTGTTGCTTCCAGCTCCACCAGACACTTGGTCGGTTACTATTACACGAGAGGAGTATGCTCAGTTTCTATCCCAGCAACAGGCTGTCCCATCTCACTTCACTGCTACTTTTGCCTAGTCAGGTATTACTTCCACTTATTTATTGTCCTCCACTTGCAGTCCTTGGATTATAGACTCTGGTGCTTTTGACCACATGATTGGTGCATCTGATATTTTTTCTACTTATCAGTCTACTACTTCCACACGTAGTGTTACTCTTGCTAATGATACTTGTTCTAAAGTTTCAGGTCTGGAGACTACTCACTTGAGTCCTGATATGTCCCTATCTTCCGTATTAATTTCCTTTTACTTTACTTTCCATAAGTAAGATTATTCGTTCTCTCAATTGTTCTGTAACCTTTTATCCCTCTTATTATGTCTTTCAAGATCTCAAGACGAAGAGGAAAATTAGTACGGGACATGAAACTGGCGGCCTATATTACTTTGATTTTGATTCACTTACTCGAGCTCTACAGACATCGTTGTCTCCTTTTCAATGGCATTGTCGTCTTAGACATCCCTCTCTCTAGAATTTGAAGCACTAAGTTCCCAATCTTAGTTGTGTGTCGTCTTTATCTTGTGAAGCTTGTCAACTTAATAAGCATCACCATATGTCATTTCAATATAGGATCAATAATCGTGTCTACTCCATTTGAATTAATACATTCTGATATACGGGATCCAATAAAAAATATTTCATCTAATAAATATCCTTATTTTGTGTTATTTGTGGATGACTATTCTCGTGTGACTTAGTTATTTTTTATGAAAGGTCGGTCTGAATTATTCTCTATATTTGAGACCTTTCGTAAGGAAATAAAAACTCAATATGATTGTCGTATACGTATTTTACGTTCTAATAATGCTCAAGAATATGAATCTGATCCTTTTTCAGCTTATCTTAGTAAAACTGACATTATTCATCAGACTTCCTATGCTTACACATCTCTATAGAACAGTGTTATTAAATGCAAGAACCGTCATTTGTTGGAAATCACATGTGCCCTATTATTCCAGATGAATATTCCTTGATATTTTTGAAGTGATATTGTTCTTACTGCTTGTCACCTTATTAATCGTATGTCATCCTCTATATTAAATGGGCAAAGTCCATATTCTGTCATTTTTCTTGGTAAGCCCTTATTTCCTAACCCTTAAGGTTTTTGGATGTGTCTGTTATGTTCACAATTTGAGTCTTGGATTTGATAAACTTGACCCTCGAGCTACCAAATATATATTTCTTGGTCATTCTCGCACACAAAAGGGTATCATTGCTACAGTCCTTCTCTGCGACAATACTTTACTAGTGTCGATGTCACATTTGAGGAATTTGTTCTATATTTTTCAGCACCTTCTCAGCCTTTGGATTTGGACTTTGGGTCATCTCTTGTATCACCATCTCTTTCCTCATCTTCAAATATTCCGCTGCCCACTGTGTTACCATCTACTTTACTTCTTCATGTATACTCTCGTCGTCCTCGACCATCGACTGAGGTGCCCGTACCGTCTTCCTTGTCGCCTTCTGATCCTGGTTCATCAAATAATTTAGACTCTTTACCTATTGCTCTTCGAAAAAGTACTCGTTCGTGTGTTACTAATCATCTCATTGCTCATTTTGTTTCATATAATGCCTTGTCTCCTATCTTCTCTTGTTTTACCTATCAATTATCTACTATATCTATTCCTAAGCATTTACAAGATGCATTATCCGATCCGGGTTGGAGGATGAGATAGATGTCTTACATCATAATGGGACTTGAGATCTCGTTCTTTTACATCCTGATAAACAAATTGTTGGTTATCGTTGGGTATATACTATTTAAATTTCATCCAGATGATTCTGTAGAGCGTCTCAAAACCTGACTTGTTACAAAGGGCTTTACTTAGACCTATAATATTGATTATAAAGAGACTTTCTCTCCTGTTGCCAAAATTTCCTCTGTCCATATCTTGATTTCTTTGACTGCTAATCTTGATTGGCTCTTGTTTCAGTTAGACGTCAAGAATGCCTTCCTACATGGTAACTTGGTTGAAGAGATATACATGGAGCAGCCACCTAAGTTTACTGCTCAGGGAGAGTATGGTAAGCGTGTATGTCGATCAAAAAAATCTTTGTATGATTTGAAGCAGTCACCAAAGGCATAGTTTGGTAAGTTTTCAGATGCAGTTTGAGAGTTTGGTCTTCTTCGATGTCAGACAAACCATTCTGTGTTTCATAGACAGACGGATGTTTGATATGTTCTATTGGTGGTTTATGTAAATGATATTGTGATCACTGAAAATAATTTTGAGGGGATTTTCAAGTTAAAAATCTTCTTGAAAGATCGATTTTATACTAAAAATTTGAAAAAATTGTGGTATTTCTTGAAAATTGAAGTGGCTCGATCCAAATAGGGTATTTGTTTATCACAAAGGAAATATGTGCTTGACATGCTAGAGAAAACTGGTTTGCTAAGTGACAAACCGATTGATGTTCCTAAAAATCCGAATCAGAAATTATTAATGGATGATGGTACACTGCTTGAGAATCTGGTCGGTATCACAAATTGGTTGGGAAGCTTAATTATCTTACTATTACTCGACCGAATATTTTTTATGCAGTCAGTATAGTAAGTTAGTTCATAGGGTGTCCTAGAGTCGATGTTATCAGAACCAAACCGGTCATCAAACCGACAAAGGAAACGGGTCAATGGTTCACTGGTTCAACCGTTAGGTCAACTGGTCGGACCGCTCATATAATAAAAAAATAAAAAAATATATATAATAATTATAAAACTTAATAATTTAGCTAAAAAATATAAAATATGTATAAAATACATAAAATTTGTCATAAAATTAATGAAATTAAGTAATAAAGTATGGGTTATTGTATTTTAAAACAAAGTAAAGAGGTTCAAGTAAATTATAAAGAAAAAGAAAGGGTGTCATTTATAATTTATCCAAGAATAAGATTAAAAAAAATCAGTTATTTACTGATTTAGGGCAAACAAATTTATTTATGTAATTAATTTTTAAATAGACATTAAACCGTCCGACTTTTATAAAACCGCCGGTTCACGTTTTTTGTTAAAAACCGGCCGAATTTTTGATTTTTAATCAGTTCGCTTCCTTAAGCGGTTCTACTAAGGAACCGGACTGGTTAGGGTCCCGGTTCACGGTTGAACCGGTCCGGTCCGGTTCTGATAACATTGCCTAGAGTACCACATTGGGAGGTAGTTACTCGTATTCTGCGATATCTCAAACGAGCTCCTAGACTTGGACTGTTATATCGAGCTAATGGACATCTTAGAGTGGAAGGTTTCTCAAATACTGATTGGGCTAACTCTCCTTCTGATCGGAGATCAACCACTGGTTATTGTACATTCTTAGGAGGTACGTTATCTCATAAAAAAGTAAGAAACAATCCGTGGTAACAAGATCCAGTACTGAGGCTGAGTATAGGGCAATGGCACATACGACGAGTAAGTTGACTTGACTACTACACTTCCTCCAGGAAATTGGGTTTCCAATTCAACTTCATTTACAGTTGTTCTGTGACAACCAAACAGCTATTCATATCGTTGTCAACCCGGTGTTTCACGAGAGAACCAAACATATTGAGGTTGATTATCACTTTATTTGGGACAAGATAGTAGCTGGGGAGATTACAACTCCTTTTGTGAAATTTGAACATCAACTTACAGATATATTTACCAAAATATTGAATCGTACACGTCTTATAGCGATTTGTTCCAAGCTTGGATTATATGATATATATATTCCAACTTGAGGAAAAGTGTTAAAGAATAGTAAGGTAGTATGTGTAAATTGTTAATAGTAAGAGAGTGTATGTGTAATTCTTATTATTGTGAGTTATCTATAAATACAAGTGATGTATGAGAACTAGGTTAAGTTTTTAACCTCTCTCTGTTTCTCTCTAAATATTGTCTCTAATATTATGTTAATCTTCCAAACTTAACACAAGATAACCCTAGAGAGGGCAGGGAGCTAACATCCTTTTATTTGTCTATCGGTGTCTATCGGTTCACTGGTTGGTTAGCTCTATTAGTTCCTGAATTAAGGAATATGCAATTGTCCTAACTCTGACTTGCCCCAAGAAGGTCAACCACCTTCCCAACTTGTTTCCCATGTTAATTGACGCAGAATGCACAGTGAACCAACCCATGTCTAGAATTTAGATGCAACAAATGTTCAAGCACCTCATAAGCAAAAATTTAAAATATATTAAAAATAATATGCAGATGCAAGTGAATGGTTTCACTAAAATCACAAGGAGCAACAAGAAAGTCCATTAACCAGACTAGCCTCCCAATATGAGGGCAAGAATGGGATGGACTGGAATTAGATAAAAGATCAAAATTCCGTTCCAGTGCATTGTTTCAGTTTCCTCAAAAATCGAAAGGTTACGAAAATATTTCAAAAACCGAATGGAAAAAGAGAAAAAAAATTAAATTTTGATTCCAAAACATTCGCTGACATACCAAAACATTCTGAAACATTGACTGAAACAATCCAAAACATTCGGAAACATGCGAATTCCAATAATCGAACACTGATTCATTTTAGTTTCCACCAAAACTAAAATGTTTCATCCATTTCTGTGCAATTGAAACAAAATTTAGATCCTTGGCAAGGATCTAACACCAAATTAAATTGGATGATGTGGCTGCCTTAGATTCATTTCCATGTTCACACACTTGATATCCCAAGGTTTTGTAAGTACAAAGAAATGGCAAAACCATAAGAATACACACTAGCACATATGTTTTGTGTAGATTATATATTCCAAATTTACTATTCATATGTAGTTGCTGTCAGCTCTTTTCTCTTTTCCTTTTTACTCTTAGTCTATTGTTTACACTTTATGCCACTGAAGAGCCCGACTGATTACTAATTTTACTCCTATTTGTATTAAATAAAATCAAAGATTTACTTCGCACTTGTACAACTACAAGCAATCATAGCAACTGAAGATGAAGGATAAAATCACCTCAATGTAGTAACTGAATGCTAACTTAGCCACTAAGAGTAGAACCCAAAACATAGTGTACCTGAAAGAGGAAAAAATAATTAATAAGAAATAAGAAAAGGCGGAAATTAATGTAAGGGATTGCCATCTGACAATCCAACATTTTGCTCTTACTTGAAAAGAGAGAGAGTATTCTCATGCATCCCCCTTCCAACATAAAGCCGAGGCTGCCAGATATTAAGGAACATCATTATACTTGACAGAAGCCATATGCTCCCTTGACTTACAAACCATAACAAACTTGATCAACGATTCAACATAGAACGGTACTGAAAGGTTGCTGCTTACCTGAGACCACCACATCATGAGCCTCAAGATTTTAAAGTCCGACCTTTCTAAATAGCGGCGGATGAATGGAAACAGAAATAACAATGCAGAGAGCATGTTTGGAGATAAGTAAATAAGAACTGCCAGGATTAACAAAGAAGACGAACTTCGACTATTGCCAAACCAATTCTTGATGGTCTGTCCAATTCCAGATGAATTTTTCAAACTATATGCATAGGCCACAGGTAAAATGATTACCCAAGCCGCAGCGGACAGAGCCTTTAATAGATATCTTAACTTCACATGCAATGACATGCTGCGACTTTCTTTCCAGCTCATAATTATATCAAGGACAGCTGCATGGATGAAGAGAACAATAATCAAATCACAAACATTGCTGAATAAAGAATGTTAAGAAGATAAAACTTTAGCTCTTTGTGCAAAAAAAACTAAGCTGTACCCTTCTCTACTATGAATGGTACATTACCTATCAGTTAGTCCAACTTGGTTTCGACTTCGAGTATATAAGGACCTTAACAAAAATATTTTAGGGTTGAAAAACTTGCACTGCCATTCGTATCATGTAGAGGAACAAGAAATTTGAGACCACAGATAATACATCTGTATTGGCATTACCATTACTATTATGGAGTATTGATGTTGCCAATACTACTATGGAGTATAACCAAATATCAACAACCACCGAATCCCAAAGCAATCCACACTGTTGTTGGTCTCAAAATTTGCTTAGGATGATTATTTAAAAGAAAATTCAAAGATAATTATTTCTGCCATTCAGGCAACTGATTCAAGGTCTAATCCCTAAAGCTTCAGAATTTCTTCAAATTGATTTGTAGTTTGTACAAAGAGAAAAGTTAAAGAAACTCGAATGACCCAAAATTAAATTTGCTTTCAAACAGTTTACAAACAAAGATAAAGAAGATTGTATTAGACAAGATTACATAGCTAATGATCAGGTTAGAATGCACTGCTATTTTATTTTTACTCTTGCAACAAAACTGGATCACCACATTAGAATTATCTGAATTCCTAGATCAGGATCCTTGTTTCTACTGCTTTTCGCCCTTTCATAACGGGCTTTCGATTAGTATTATAACGTATATCAATCTGCCTGCATGTCAAAGCAAGACCTATCAAGCTGAATACCCTACCCACCAGTGCTAAATCTTGGTTGTGTGTCAAGTAATCTACAACCCTAGCCTGCTACTTTGGTGTTGGATCCCTGTCATATAGAAAATCATCACCATAATAAATTGTGAAACAAACAGAAAAAAAAAATAGATGATGAATATGAAAGTAAGTAGTAAGACAATTAATTAAGTAGTAAGACAATTAAAACAAATATAATCATCTGCTTTTATTTACCTTGAGCAAGTTTTAATATTGCAGCTGTTATGAAGATGCTCAATACTTTCAGGAACACATTTCCCTCAAAAATTGCACTAAGTTCCCCCGATCCATTCCAAGCAATGATGATCATTGCCTTCAATGAATATGTTATGTTAACATGGCATAATAAAATAAATAACAAAGGAGACAAGTAACCAATATTAACCAATGATACTATCAGAAACAAAAGCAGCTTACCTGTAAGCTTAAAATGAAAAAGCTCCACATTCTATCAAAACTCCTAAAGATATGCCAGTACGAGCGTATCTCAACAAAGTTAATTTTGCCCACCCATCGATCTCCTTTAACTGGTTCACTTTCCTGAATAGCATCATCCAATATAGTAAAGGCAGTATAACAAGATATAATCAAGCTGGAAAAATAAGTTCCTTTTTTTTTACAGTTCTGTACTCTAGTATCACAAAACTGGTCTTGCACAGCGACATTGAGATCAAGATAAACCGTTTTACTAGGTCCAATGTGGACAGGTCTTGCTTTTCAACAATGACTCTAAGAAAGCTTTACAGCTAGGTTGAACCATAGGAGACAGTAGAAGTGTTGACAATATGTGTCAAGCTGTCAACTCACGGGAAGGTAAAGATAATTTCGGACCAAAAGTTGGTGCAGTTATTGCCTTTAGTTGAAGTTCAAAGCTAAAGGTTAGAGTAAACTACTCTCCAGAAAGTTTTTGAAAAGTTAATATTGTTGAGCAGAACATTTTTAGCCTAGAATTAGTCTAGCCAATCAGCATGCCCCTTCTTCTTACTTATTATTTTCCACTATCATCATAAAAAATCCTGGAATCATGATGATGCATCCTAGTTTGTGTAAGCGATGCAAATTGAGCCACATGAATGAACAAAACACTCAAAACTGCATCACTCCTGCTTAGCAGGTTAAAGTCGCCATATGTACTGGCCAGAAACCACCAAAATTGATGAAGTCTTTAAATTTTTGGCATTCTGCTAATTCAAGCGCAATTGAGACAACAAAAGTCAATCTTTTACTTCTGGTAGCTAAATTCTTTAATCTTCATACGTCGCCTCAAAGCACCAGCAATACTGTGCTCAATCCAATTCTACTACAGCCCTAGGATTACATTCTTGGTGATTTGTGGCATTACAAGAGTTGTATCTACAGTATCTCCCTTGTGCTTGAGGGCATAGGCCTGTATTCGGAGTTTCTCTGGGGTTGGTAAGGCAACATCGAATTTTACTTTCCACATTCCCCATTTAACACTGCAAGAAAACCTTTTCAGATTTAAGCAAAGTCCTTTGTTTTTTGCCGGTATCGCCACGCGGCTTAACCCCGATCACCCCCTCAAAAATAGGAGGCAATAATAGTGTGCCCAAGCGAAGTGTCAATTCTGTCAGAAATCGGGTGTGGAAGAGACTATAGGTAACTCGAAGCCCTATTAGGGGCTCCGAATGATAGAACTCGAGTCTAGCATTTCTTGTTCTTCCGATCTGGGTATGGTAGCTTTCCCATCAACTTTCTGTGTAGGATTTCAAGCCAGTGAGCAGAAATGCTAATCACAAAAATAGCTCGTTAGTTAAGCTCTTCAGTTATGACTCCTTCACTTGAAGTGATGACTCCTTTAGTTTCCTCTGAAGAAACAAATAAGGTCAAGTAAATCCGCCATTAAATAACCAAAGGATACCCCTTACAAGCTTCCAGACTCCCAGTTACTGCACACGGTCATATACTGAGGTACTCCCTACCGGTTGTTGGAATGACGCAAGCAAGGCCGAGTCTTGATTCAAAAAGATGAAGGGCTAAAAAGTATAAATAGCGGGTTACAAATTCCCCATCTTATTGGGGGGCGAAAAATGAATCGACATCTCGATGTAATACAGCCTTTTCTATTTTAGTTGAAAAAGAACAGCGAAGTCCATCTGAGCCGTCTAATGAAGAATAAGAGGAGACCAAAGTGCCACTAACGTGCGAAGCGCATGCGGAACGAGCACAAAAAAAGAGTAGTGTGGAGAAATAGCCAAGCTCATTCCCTTCGTTTCCTGGGCCCAAAGCAGTGCGGTCTTTCCTAGCCAAATCAAGGATTTGGGGCTTCTTGCTACTAAACCGTGAAAACGGGGGGTTATAGGAGAGCAATACAAGTGTCGTGCTGCTAGGCAAAGAGGTGGAATGCTGCACCCTAAATGGTGAAAGTCCAATAGCCAAAAGCATCACTAGTTTATGCTCTAACCCAAGTAGCATGGAGCACGTGAAATCCCGTGTGGAGATTTTGCTTCTACACAGAAACGAAGACTTTCGATAACCAATATTGGGCCGGGAAGAAAAAGGGAGGAAAAGTAAAGTCTAAGCACATATGGCACGAAAAGGAAATCCGATTTCAATAAGACTTGATCTGAATCATAGTTCAAATTCAAGTTGGTTTAGTGAGGGTGACCGCAAAAGTCACCAAATGGGCCAGTCTTTCCCTTCAGTTTGTCCCAAATTTTAAATAGAAAAAGGCGTGGGAGGACGTTGGAGATGTCCAGGACGGACACGACTTCTTCTAAGGCTAAAAGACCACTGGAAGGGTTCCAATTCGAGTGAGAGCCCAAACGGGTGAGGCGATAACATCTTTATTGAAAGCTCTATTGTTCTATATACAGAGAAAAATTTTTTGAAATTCAATCAAATTGATCGAGAATCTCATCATCTATAAGATCATCTGTAAGGTGGGCCAACCGACTGACCGAGTTGGGGGTTGGGCGTCCTGGCGAAGGTCATTCAGTTGGCTAAGCCCTTGCCCTTTGATAGCATAGTGCAATTGCCAAAGGACATTGATTCCGTTATGAGCTTTTGTTTAGTGTTTCAAGATTTTAGATGAGGTCTCATTAATCGTTATTGATCTTTTTTCTCCCAGATTCCTATCGTTCAAGGAATATCTTGGGAGCCTGGAAGACAATGCCTAATGTAAAGATCCCGGATTTGAGAGGAAGACCAACTAGCGGATCAGAAAGATTTGTATGGAATATCTACTCCTGCTTGAGCATTCCAATCAATCAATCCCCTATTTCTGCGGCATCTGTGTTAGGTAGGCCCAGGGATCACGTATTAGTCGAATGAGCCCGTCCCTCTGGCTTATCATTTGTTGGTCGATACGACTGGCGGCTCCTATATCTCTTGCATCTCAATGGGTGCCATTTTATATAAGTTTGCTATTAGGAGTCCCTGTCCTTTAGTTGAATCAATCAAAAATATAAGTTAGTTAAGTCGAAATCTGTGTGATGGTTCGAGAGTAGTTTCAAATATTCTTTGCATCCCCAGAGAGATACATTGTTGCCATTGTGACTTAGCCGTTAACAGGGGCACGAACAGCCACCTTAAAATACTGTTCCATGTACCAAAAGGTCTTCGAGCCTTGGTCAAATCCCGTTGAACGAGACTCAAATACGTCTGGAGTTGCCTGGTGAGACATTCGGTTCACGAACCGGAGACCTATCTCCACAGCAAGCTCCTCAATTTGACCCGGTCCGTCCTTTGGACATCGCTACCAGCATTGTTGAGGCCCTATGAAGACGACTCTCCTTCACTGGGACACTTGAAGTTTCTCTTATACAATAAATTAACCTTCATCTTCTTTTTTTAATTTTTCACACATCATTAATGCGTAATGAGACTTCCCCACTAGTGATCTCACACAAAGGTATCATGTCACTAATGATCTTAACCAACTCATCATGTGTCGGTTGTGATAGAAATATTGATATTGTCCTATTCCTAGTTATAAGAAGTGGGAGCTGTCGGGATAATGAAAGTTGTAATTGTAGAAGAGTTCTTTCTTTTCTTTTTCTTGATTAGGTAACTTGGTTCTAGTAAGTTTTGATAGCAAAGAGATACTAAAAGGTCAACCTTTTATTTTTTGCCCTTTTCTTCAATTTTATTTTTTGCCTTCTACCCCCATCTGTAGGGTGATTCAAAATTTCCCACTGGTTTCTCTCTAAAGTAACCTCATTAACCTTGGAGAATAAATTACAGAACTCAAAATCATTGGTCTTGTCCAACCAGATTTGTTCATTGGCATAAGTGTTATTGAATGTTGGCCACATGCATTTGTGATGATTCATCATCCTACAACCTTAAAACTTCCAATGATTAAAAAGTTGATGCTGAAAGTTTTGTTAGGTACAAATAACACTCACTCTCGAGTCAAATAAACTAGATTACAAGAATATATATAGCTCAAAAAAATCAGAAAAATACTATCCAAAAGACAAATATACCCCTATTATAAAAATTTATATACACTCTCACCCCCCCTTTTTTTCTTCTCAAACTCATGATGCGAGCCCAGAGAGCATTGAGAGTTTACTAAATAAGAATCGAAAATGAGCTGTAGTGTGAGACATTGTGAAAAAATATGCAAGTTGTAGCAAAGAAGGTACAAACAGTAAAGCAATAGTGTCCAGCTAAAGACGTTGATAAACAAAATGACAATCAATTTTAATATGCTTCGTGCGCTTATGAAATACCGAATTGTGAGCATTCTCGATGGCACTTTTATTGTGCATGAGAGTATAGAACAACTCCCATATCAGCCAAAAACCAACGAAACCAAACTATCTCTATAGTGGCGTGTTTCTTACTTTTCTAAAAAATAAGAGAATCACCCAGAAAAAAAAAAACNTCCTCAATTTGACCCGGTCCGTCCTTTGGACATCGCTACCAGCATTGTTGAGGCCCTATGAAGACGACTCTCCTTCACTGGGACACTTGAAGTTTCTCTTATACAATAAATTAACCTTCATCTTCTTTTTTTAATTTTTCACACATCATTAATGCGTAATGAGACTTCCCCACTAGTGATCTCACACAAAGGTATCATGTCACTAATGATCTTAACCAACTCATCATGTGTCGGTTGTGATAGAAATATTGATATTGTCCTATTCCTAGTTATAAGAAGTGGGAGCTGTCGGGATAATGAAAGTTGTAATTGTAGAAGAGTTCTTTCTTTTCTTTTTCTTGATTAGGTAACTTGGTTCTAGTAAGTTTTGATAGCAAAGAGATACTAAAAGGTCAACCTTTTATTTTTTGCCCTTTTCTTCAATTTTATTTTTTGCCTTCTACCCCCATCTGTAGGGTGATTCAAAATTTCCCACTGGTTTCTCTCTAAAGTAACCTCATTAACCTTGGAGAATAAATTACAGAACTCAAAATCATTGGTCTTGTCCAACCAGATTTGTTCATTGGCATAAGTGTTATTGAATGTTGGCCACATGCATTTGTGATGATTCATCATCCTACAACCTTAAAACTTCCAATGATTAAAAAGTTGATGCTGAAAGTTTTGTTAGGTACAAATAACACTCACTCTCGAGTCAAATAAACTAGATTACAAGAATATATATAGCTCAAAAAAATCAGAAAAATACTATCCAAAAGACAAATATACCCCTATTATAAAAATTTATATACACTCTCACCCCCCCTTTTTTTCTTCTCAAACTCATGATGCGAGCCCAGAGAGCATTGAGAGTTTACTAAATAAGAATCGAAAATGAGCTGTAGTGTGAGACATTGTGAAAAAATATGCAAGTTGTAGCAAAGAAGGTACAAACAGTAAAGCAATAGTGTCCAGCTAAAGACGTTGATAAACAAAATGACAATCAATTTTAATATGCTTCGTGCGCTTATGAAATACCGAATTGTGAGCATTCTCGATGGCACTTTTATTGTGCATGAGAGTATAGAACAACTCCCATATCAGCCAAAAACCAACGAAACCAAACTATCTCTATAGTGGCGTGTTTCTTACTTTTCTAAAAAATAAGAGAATCACCCAGAAAAAAAAAAACATAGAAACTAGTGGTAAACTTGCTATCAGTACTATCCCCAGCCCAATCAGCATCAACATAGGCATTTAAAGTCAGAGAGGAGGTCGACGAAAACAATAACCTCTAAAATAGTGTAGCGTACATACCGCAAAATACAAAGTAAGGCAGCCCAATGAGTAGTACAAAGAGCAAAAAAAAATTAACTAACAAGAATATGAACTCCATATGCAATATCCGGGCAAATAACAATAAGATAAATCAAACAACCAACCAATCCATGCTACAATGCTGGATCATCAAGAAGAACACTATCAGAACATGAGGATTTGGCATTTAACTCGATAAGAATAGCAACGACCTTCTCATATGTTAAGTGGGCTCAACGAATAAGCTCATTAGCATACTTAAATTGGAATAAAAGATAGCTTATAGGAGAAGAAGCAACCTCAATACCAAGAAATAACGTAGAGGACCCAAATACTTCATCTCAAACTCAAATAAAAGATGTCATTTTTCTTTTGTCTATAGCAAGCAACAATATAGAACCAATGATAATCATATTATTTACATATAATAAGAGAAAAACCAATTCATGAGTAAAACGACAAACAAATAAAGCAGGATCAGGAACACTAGAAACAAAACCAATCTAGGTAAAAACAGATTGAAAACGTTCATACCAAACTTTGGGGGCTTGCTTTAGACCATAGAGAGCCCAATGCAAGTGACAAACATAACCAATAGAATGAAAAAGATCAGGAGGTGAGTGCATATAAACCTCTTCATTTAGATACCCAATTAAAAATGCATTTTTAACATCAAGTTGAGATAGAAGCCATTGATGAACTTCTGCAACAGAAATCAAAATACGAACAGTAATCAAAGATATTGATGAACTTCTGCAACAGACATCAGAGTACGAACAGTAATCATTTGGCAACAGGAGAAAAAGTTTCTTCAAAGTTAACACCATACTTTTGTGAAAACCCTTTAGCAATTAACCGAGTTTTATAACGCTCAAGGGAACCATCAGAATAAGTCTTAACCTTGTAAACTCATTTGCAACCAACAATATTTTTGCATGCAAGCAAAGAACTAATCTCAAGTATCAGTCTTATCAAGAGCAACCAATTCATCATGCATTGCATTAATCCAATTAGGATTAGTACGAGCCTCTTTATAAGATTGAGGATCAAAATAAGAATAAATAGAAGTAGGAAAAGCACGATAAGAAGGAGAAAAACAAGTATCAGCAAAACCAAGTGTCCCAGGAGGATTGCAAGTGCGATTGCGAATAGGATACCATCGTTCAGCTTAAGCAGAGTCCATAGGATCAGAGTTGGACCAATCAAAGCATATGCACACAATGTGGAAGAGGAAGTTTTTTCCGAGAATAAACCAAAAGATAAGGAGAGATAACAGAAGGATGAGAAGGAGAAGATAAAGAAGAAACATCAATTGAAAAAGGAAGATCGGAAACATCATGAGAGGGGATAAACTCTTCATAAGACTCATCCAAGGGAAAAAGGTCAATACAAGTTCATCCTTTGACACAAGAGCTATTTTAAAAAGAATCGTGAAATATGAAATGCACTCAAAAAATATAACATACCGAGAGACATACAACTTTTTAGACACAGGATCATCACACCGATATCTGTTCTGATCGAGACCATACCCCAAGAAACTACATAAATCAAAACGAACACTTCATTTATTTTGCTAGAAAAAAGAACAAAACAGGCTGAACCATAGACACGGGGAAGAAAGTAATTAGGAAGTTTCCTAAACAACTTTTTAGAAACACTAGATAGAAGTGGGGTAGGCATATGATTTAATAAATAAATTGTGGTAAGAACATTTTCATCCCAAAAGACAGAGGGAACAGATGAAGAAAGCAAGAGGGCATGTGCAATTTCAAGGATATGTCTATGCTTACACTCAGTAACATCATTAGGTTCAAGGATACCTGAGCAAGATCAGTAATGTATAGTGTCAGATGCATCCAAGAAGTCAGTGAAGTCTTTCAACCAATATTCGCCATCCAAATTAGAACAAAGGACTTTTATATTAGTAGAAAACTAAGCATGAATCATGGAATCAAAATTGCAATAAATTTGAGAAAAATCAGATTTGTGCCATCAATTTACACAACAATAACAACTGTAATCATCAATAAAAAAATATAATATATAGTGCCACCTTTAGTGAAAATAGGGGAAGATCCCCATACGTTAGTATAAACAAAAAAAAAGGCGAATTAGACAAAGAAGCACTTTTATGAAAAAGTAAAACAGACATCTTGGCAAGTTTACATCCACTACAAATAGAGATGTCCCTTGGAGACACATAACCAAAATACTAAACAATTAAACTCTCTAGACGTTCACTAGTCAAATGACCTAACCTAGAATGCAACAAATAAAATTGGGACAAATTATTCTGTAGACAAAAAATAGACAACTTGGGAGAACCAGACTCCCGAAGAATATGTAACTGCTCTAGAATGTATAAGTCACCAACTCTACACCTAGTCCCAATCTGTTTATTAGACTTTCGATCCTGAACAATACAAGCATAAGAAGAAAACATAACATCAAATCCAAAATCAAAGTTGACTAATCGACAATAGACTAAAAGACAATTGCATAACATAAAAAAACATTCGGGATAAAAATAAAGGAGGACAAAGAGGAAGAGCAAATCCAACAGAAACAACTTGCATTGGAGAACTATTAGTTGTGACAATATTATAAGAGAAGCGGGAGAGACACAATTACTAAGAGAAAAAAGATTAGGAGTCATATGACGTGAGGACCCTAAATCAAATATCCAAATAGAAGGTGAAATATCTAAGATATGCAAACCAATCAAACTTGAATGAATTGTGAACATTGCAGAGGCATGACACAGATATGTAGTGGAAGTAGCAAGCACAGACTACAGCTACTCAATTGTCGACGAAACAATACTAGGAGAAACAATGACGGAATCATATGTAGAAGTTGTCAGCGCTGCACAAGGACCGTTGAGTAGAAGCATGTCCTTTCTAAATTTTGGGACAAGAATATTTCCAGGGTCCTTTCTGACGTCAAAAGTTGCATTCATCAATCCCAACACTTGATTTTGATTTTCCACTTGTTTAAGCTGTGCAGATGGAATAGGCAACAAAGGAGGCTGTGCATTGGGGGTAGAAAACACTAATTGAAAAGAAGTGACCACATGAGCCACCTTAAATCGAGTCTCTTCAACAATAAGTTCCCGTAACAGCTCCATCAACTATAGGCAGTGGGGTCCGATGAAGAATAGCACCATGAAAAGGCTCAAATTAGTCTCTAAGAGATATAAGAAAATGGACTAGCCTCTGTTTCTCCCTATAGTACACATATCTATCTACTGGCAGTAAGTTTGATGGTTCCATGAATGGCTACGAATTCCAAATACGTGTCTTTCAGATAATTCCATACTTTCTTTGTAGTGTCAAATTTCAAACAATTCATACCAATACTAGATTCCATAGAATTATGTAACCAAGTAAGAACACGAGCGTTCTCCATCTCCCATTTAGCAACAATTTTATCATAATTCGTTGCTTTCGGATCAAAGGGTTTTATTTCATAACCCCACCTTCGTCGACCGAGCAAAAAAAGTATGATCATATTAGACCCAATACAAGTAGTTTTCTCCATTCAAATGAATACTAATTATTTGAATCTTATCGTTTGAAATCAACATAATTTGATTACAAAATATCACCCATCAACGGTGCAATGAACTGCCGTTGTGAATAGTCGTGCCCAAGAACAATAAAAGCAACAATATTTGTGATAAGAGTGCGATAGTAGATGCAACTTTAGGGATTGCGATTTGATAGGAGATGAGGCTCTGATACCATGAAAGTTTTATTGGGTGCAAATAATACTCTCTCAAGTATAATAAACTAGATTATAAGAATATAGATTGCCCAAAAAAATCAGAACAACCCTAGACTACCTAAAAACAAATATACCCCTATTATAAAACTTATATACACTTTCACAGATACATCACAAAAACTCGAAGGTTATTTATAAAGGCACCCTTTTTCAGTCCAAAGCTAGTTGGGATCACTTGAATTTGTCACAGTCAAGAACTATATACAAGGATCTTTTAGCTTGAAATGGGAATTTTAAACCAACTTTAATCAAAAGAATTCATTGTCCACATACTTAGCAACTCATTGAAGAACGTTGGACAAATCTAACAACTAAGATGGTTCTAAACTAATTTGAAACATAGTCAAATATCTAGAATCTTGAATTTCTAGTTGAAATAGGTGAAAATGAAGTTGACTAGCAAAGACAATCCACTAACTTTAGGCATGTTATATGTACAACATCAAATTGAGGACAGTAGGAAAGCTACAAATACAATGAAACAGGAAACAAGCTCACTTTTTTTCCCTTCTTATTACGATAAAAGTACGAGATACAGAGAAATAAGCTCACGAGTCAAGACTTCTAAGAAACCATGGCTAATACAGAGAAATACAAGATATCCCTGGCCAATTCTTGGAACAACCTGCTACAGGCATGTCTCTTACTAATGTTAAGACTTACTAATACTTGGACTTTATGAATTAGCATCAAACTGCTTTCTTGGAGCCACACATCATGCAAGCTCTTGAAATGGAAGCCTCAAATTCCATTCAATATTTTGATTTGTAACAAGGAAGCATGAACCAGCAATAAAAAATGGATGCACTAAATGTGGCAACGAAAATTTTAGAACGCCATAGATCGAACAGATTTCAATATATTTTTCCAAATCAAGAGAAACATAAAATGTTCTAAACAAGAAAACCAATAGCCGAAAAAATAAATAGTTACGTTGTAAAATATTACTTACCATTTTTTTTTCATCACGAAGCTGTTCAATAGGCTGGCAGAAGAAATCAGAATCAGCACGCATTGGCCAGCCTAATCGGAAGCAATCAATGGACCTAAAATTTCATGCAAAATATTAACTTACTAAACACATACCGAGGAAAAAATCCATTTTGCATAGAGAAAAGCATGATACCAAAAATATTCATTTAAATCATCATAGTTCCTCCATTGAGAATGCTTTGATTTTCCTCCTTTGCTCCATTTAGCTTCCTAAGAAAGAAAAAGTCAAATTTAGAGAGATATGACTAGAACGTAGTAAGGAAACAAGAACACCTTTTGCAGACTCAAGAACCAAGCAGAAGCAACACCTTTGCTATTGTGTTATAGATTGGAGTTACTACTTTCCTTAAGAAAGCCTCTTCTTCACCACCATAGGCAGGCTTAATACTCTCACCCGTCGTGGGACTAACATTCCCAGCCAGCATACCATACAATTCGAAAGCCATCTGAGATATAAAAAATATAAAAATAAATGAAAATAATTAAAGAAATCAGAAGAATGCATGACCATCAATGAAAAAACTACATAAGGCTTGATATTTGGTTTTGAATCCCTTCATACTTCCGAAAGAGCACAAATAAACCTGTATTTGGTAACGCTGGAAAGGAAGAGAAAACAACAGTAAGGAACACAATTTCTTTCCTTTCCTCTGTTTGGTTTCCACTGTGAAAAGTGAAAACAAAAGAAAGAGATGAGGAAATAATTCACGTATTTTCCTCTTAGGCCCACCATTTTGAGTTAGCAAGATCATATGCCTTCTCCACAAGAACCATAACCGAATAGCATAGAAACCTTAAACACCCACATATCCGCTTGGGATCCAAGCACATATTTTCATGACCATATTCTATTTTATTTTAATGTTATGCATCCAACTCAATACAGTCTTGGGCCTATTGAAAATACCAATGAAAGTGAAAAGCCAAATATAATTGGAAATTAGTGCAGAAGCCTACCTTTGGTGGCCCTAATCATTACATGTGGAATATAAACTCTCTTTATACCCTCCCTCGCATGATACTCGGACTCGCACTTGGGGCTAACAAACAAACAAAGAAACATGAATATCGGGACACTCAAATAGATAAGAAACTTGGCCCACTGACCAAGCAAGGTTCAACTCAAAACTAATTGGCAATGAGTGAACTGGCTTCTTAAGCGTACAATCTAGTCTTGAGTGATCCTAATCATTGATACAAACTCTCTTTACACGTTACCTTGTGGTTTGACCTTGTAGCACTTAAACCCTTGTGGTTCAAATATAGCCACAAACCCTAATGTGCTTTGGACTGAAGAGCTACCTTTACAAACTCTATCCAAATTGATGGAAAGTGTGACACAAACACCTATAAAGTTTTTTTTTTGTTTGTAGTGTTTTTTTTTTTTTGTT